TGGGTACGTTGGGATAGAAGTGTTAGTCTTCTGCCTCTGATGAATGAATAGCTGGAACTGACCATCCTTAAGGTGTCTTCTGGGTCTGGTCTCGCATCTTTATGTGCAATAATGCTCACTCTGGGATTTCCCTAGTGGTTGTCGCCTGGCTCTCAGAACACAGTTGCCTCTTCCTTCTGAATAAGGATGAAGCACTGGGCCATCCCTGGGATAACACAGAAGCAGGTGGTTGGAGAAGGCCCACGTCTTCCTCTGCCAGCCGACAGAATCTCCTTTTTAGCCATTCTTCTTGGCCTGACATTTCCTGGAATAGACTGTCAGACCACTGGATGTGGTCTTTCCTGTTCCCAGAGGAAGGGGCTTTATCCTCAATGAGGTGTTACCTTTCCTTCTTTAATGTACCTGTGGGATTCGTACTTCTTATGCCAAGTCACCAAGAGCTGGGAGCTGCAGGTCCCACCTCTACCCACCAGACTCCTGTGTCTGAAGGGAAGCACTTTTCCACCAGTGGAAGTTATTTAGAGAGGCAGAGAATGACTGAAGGACAGCTTGGTCTTCTGCTAGAGGTCTCCTGGGAGTCCCTGGAGCAAAAGAGATGTTTCTGCTCCCAGTATTCCCTTCATGAAATGCCAGCAGAAATTCGTTCTGTCTCAGGGACTCTCCTTGGTTCTCCTCCCTTATTCAGATGATTCCTTTCCTTTCTCTGTGCCTTAGAAGAAATCCCCTCTGAGCCCAAGTTTCATATACCTTTCATTTACTTTTCCCTTGATTATGTTTTTGCCTTTGTTTCTTTTGTGCCTAATGCCTGCCTTTAGATTTCCATATCTGTGAATGAACTCCCCCTTCTGGGCTTTTTATACCTGTTCCCAGTTGTGCTCCTTATAGGTCCATGCAGTTTACCCAGTCTTGCTGCCTCCTGGGGTTCTAGGCTGAGGATACTGTGGGTTTCCTGGAGGTTACCTGGAGATGTGTCCAAAGAAGGGTATTAGTGACATTTCCAGCCAGGATGGCTTTTGTTTGGCTGTGACCATAGCTCTAGGGCAGCCCAAGGTCCTTTACTCAGTGTGTTCAGGATAGCCAAAGCCCTAGATGGCAAGTAAATGCCAGACAGGCCTCCTTTGCACACAGTTCCACTGCTCTTTGTCTCCATACAATGTTATATCCACTATTCTTAGTCCTTGGTCCTCTGCAGTGTCAGTGTTGCTAAGGCAGAGTAGGGAGAGGCTAGTTGGGGGTCCTAGACCTGAAGTGCTATGCACCTACCTGGCAGTGCACTCTGCCCTCTTTAAACTTTGTAAGCTTTTCCTTTCCTACTGACTCCTTTTCCCAATTTCCTACATTTCATCAATTTTCCTAACTGGTTTTTAGAGACTCCAATATATGAAAAGCCAATAAAGTTAGTTCAGCTTGTGGCATTGGTCAGGTACCCATTTGTGGAGTGGCTGAGAGACTGGATCTCCAACATCTCTGCCTGGTGAATGCTGCCCAGTTGGTCAGTCTGTCTGCATGCTAGTCAGTTACACAGGGCTACCAAGCTGCTTACACACAAGGGCAACCTATAACTGCAGCTGTCTGTGAGTGCTACCTTTAAGTTATGCAGCCTGTGTTCAGGAGTATGGAGTCACTCAGAGTGCCATCTGCCTGTTCCCTTCCGGCTGTGCTCTCCTGGGAGTGGGGTGAGACCTTTTCCTGAATAAGCCCCCCTGGTCTTTCCTAGGATTACTATGGAATTCCCTTTGCTGCACCCACAGCCCTTGCCAGCCGAGATGGGAGCCTAACTAATAATCCATATTCAGGTTAGTTGGCCCAGTGGTTGAGAGTGGGAGGGTGTGGACAAGGCTGTAGCTCATCCCAGGAGATTGAAAGGCAGGTGTTGAAGAGGTGAGAGGCCTTTTCACTATCCGTACTTGACTGGTAGCCAGACCTGTTCCTGTTTGCAGGAGCCAGTCTGGCCTTTCCCCTCATTTACAAATGTCAGTGTTCCTCTTATCCTAGGTGATGTCACAAAGTTTGGCCGAGGTGACTCTGCATCCCCTGCACCCCCCACCACGCTAGCTCAGCCACAGCAGAGCCAATCCCAGACCCACCACACAGCCCAGCAGCCCTTTTTGAATCCCGCTCTTCCACCTGGCTACAGCTACACTGGCCTCCCCTACTACACAGGCGTGCCCAGTGCCTTCCAATATGGGCCCACCATGTTTGTGAGTATTTGTGGGTGGTGTTATTTCTCCCTAGGCCTTATACCCCTGGAAGGTTGAAACTTTGGACCTGTAATCCAGCTCCTTGGAGCAGCAGGGAGGGGGCAGATCATGATACTACAGAGTGTCTCGTGTGACCCTCAGTAACTGTTGAGCCATCATGTGCTGCACTAATGAAAAGGAATCCCCTCTGGTTGTGGTTATGTAATCTGCTACCTTATGCAGAGGATGTATGACCTGCTCCATCTTGCCTGTGTTCTTACACTGTTGCCCCACCTGTGCCCACCAGGTCCCTCCAGCATCAGCCAAGCAACATGGTGTGAACCTCAGCACCCCCACCACCCCTTTCCAACAGGCCAGTGGTTATGGCCAGCACAGCTACAGCACAGGTGAGAGGTGCTTCCAGCACAGAGACACAGGGTGTAGCAGAGGCTTGCTTAGCTCACACATGCCTCTTGTTCTCTGCCATGCTAGGTTATGATGACCTGACCCAGGGAACAGCAGCAGGAGACTACACCAAGGGTGGCTATGGTGGATCATCACAGGCACCAAACAAGTCTACAGGTTCTGGGCCTGGGAAAGGTAATGTTTGCCCCTCCTTTCTAGGGCTAAAGCTTGGAATAGTTATCTTCTGTCTGTCCTCTCAGGCAGAACTCCCTCAGAGTATCCCTAGCTGGGACCAAATGTCTATGGGAACTACTACCTGATTTTCCTCCTAGGAGTATCCGTATCTTCAAGTACCACTGGCCTGCCTGATATGACTGGTTCTGTCTACAAAACACAGGTGAGGAAGGACAAAGATGGCCAGGTAGGTTTGTGAGAGTTAAGAGTCCAACCTCACCCTCAGCATTGTCTTCATTGCCTTGCAGACTTTTGACAAGCAGGGATTTCATGCAGGGACCCCTCCACCTTTCAGCCTGCCTTCGGCCTTGGGTTCAACTGGACCTCTGGCACCTGGAGCAGCCCCTGGCTATGCTCCGCCACCATTCTTGCACATCCTGCCAGCCCACCAGCAGCCACACTCACAGCTGCTGCACCACCACCTTCCCCAGGACACTCAGGTGAGTGCAGTAATGGAGGTGGCTTCCTGGGTAGGGGATTCTACCCCAGCCCTGACAGCCTTTTCTCTTCCTTCTCATTCTTCTCAGAATGGTTCAGGTCAACGCAGCCAGCCCAGCTCCCTGCAGCCCAAGTCTCAAGCCTCCAAACCCACCTATGGCAACTCTCCATACTGGACAAACTAGACCTCTAAGAGAGGGGTGGGCTTTGGGGTAGGGCTTACCCTGGACAGGAGAGAACACTTGGAGCACGTTTCTGGGAGCCCGGTACCCTTCCCTAGAATTTCTGAGACATGTAACTGTCAGCCGAGCCTCTCAGTGGGGAGCTCCCAGACTCACTATATTGTATGTAGTGTATTTATGTATGTATTTGTAAATGTATGAGAAGCCCCAGGGGAGTGGGGGTATAGCTGCAGATGGCAGCCAATTCTGCTCTCCCCATCCAGACCCCTTTTCTCTATAGCCATGTAAGGCCCCTGCACCTCTGATGCTTTCAGACCTTCCACGGGTGCCCTACTCCATGGGCTGCTAAGGTCTGCCACTGGAAGGGCTGGTTCAAGGCACATTGTGCAATGGTCAGATACCAATGAAGAATCACGACTTATTTCAGTCCCTTGTAACCATTATTTGAGTTTTCTTCAGCTTCCAATTACTTTATACCTTTTTTGAGAGATTGGTCCTTTTGTCATTTGTCATGCTCCCATTCCAGGGTATCTTAATCTGAGAATAGCAGAGATCATCATCTACTGCCCAACGTAAACCTGGGTCCTGTCTTCACATAGAGCAGGGGTTTCTTCTGGTCTGGTCCAGTCCCTAGAAACTTGCTGCCTTCTGGCTGACCACTTTAAAAAAAAAAAATCTGGTCTCAAGAGAGATGTTCAGCCCATCAGCTCCCCTTTAAAAATCAAAGATCTGCTTCCACTTCAGTGAAAGCCCGTCTCCAAGCAAAGACTCCTCTATTCCAGTTGTCCTAAAACAGGTGGGCAACGGTGTCAGGGGTTTTCTCTTGCCCAATCTCCACCTAATAAAGTTATGAGAGCATGCACGGTCTCTGTGTGGTGTGGCTGAGGGATGGCCCTGGGAGAAACATCTTGGGCTTCATAAAGCAGAAACTTCTGTGCTTCTGACCACAGGTTGTAGGGCTTAGATTAGAATGCCTGACCTGTATTAGTCAACTTAATGTGGCAGAAGAACCAGCCGACTAAGGTGAGTTTTTACCTTTTCTTCGTTGGGGCTCTGTAGTTGAGAGCAGTGTTTTAGCTAATCACATGGCTATTGTGAATTCTAGCAGGACCCCTAGCTATATAATAGCCAAACTATTAACTAAAACTAAATGGGGACTTTTATCAAAACGTGTTATCTTTTGCTTGATTTCATGTTATTTATTAGCAGCAGGAAGTTGGGATCACAAATAACAATGAAAATAAAATGTTTACCCAAGGAAGGCAGCCCGGTATCTGTCCAATCCCTCTGTTCTGTTTTGGAATCAAATTGAGTCAAACTTAACAAATGGATATGCCCTTACAAACTTTCCTTGAAATCTTGTGTGGATTGGGATAATTCTCTAGGAAAGGAGATGGATTTGGACAGGATGCATGAGGACAGACAGGTCAGCCAGTTTTGGTGGTGGTCCTGTTTTTTCAGCTGAGTTCTGGGCATAATTTTCAAAGAAATAATGAAAATGTTCAGACCACCATTTAGTTTTAACACAAGGTAAAAAAAAAAAAAAGGATCATCCCATGGGGAAGTAGCAATACAGGTATATTTTATTTCACATTTTATTAGTAGACAGATGGGCAGAAAAAGACAAAATAAACCACTAAAGGGGAAGTCAACACAAAAATGCATCAAGATAATCTTTTCTCATAAGTTAAACTGAAGAAAAACATCTACAATTTCAGCTAAGAAAACTATTAAAGTCAGGTGTGTCCTGCTGGTTTCAGAATAGTTGAAAATTGCATCTGAATTTGTTTAGTTGTAAATGTAAACCTTGTTTATCAGGATGAGAGGGGTGGAAAGTTAATTTTCAGCAGAGTACTATACATTTTCCCTTCCAATCTCTTACTCCATTGCCTCAAACAAGGAAACCARCAAAGGTAAAGAAGCAAATAATTGCCAAGGAAGGTTTTTTAAAGAAGGAACTACAAAAGTTCGGCTAGTAGAAAAGAACTCTGGAATGATAAGAAAGGAAGCGGGGGGGGGGGGGGACTGAGAGAGAAGCCAACAATGGAATCATATTATATCTCCAATACAAAAGAGTATTCTAGTGAGGCCTCAATTAGAACCAAAAGAAATCTAAATATGCAGGATTTTTGAGTTTACTTCACACCAAATAATTAGCCCAACTGTACTCATGAGGTTTTGGCATAAGCCAGAGACCTCCATCCACTCCCAAAAGAAAAAAGAAACAACACTTAGATACTCAAGTATTTTTTTCCACAGGATATGTTCTCAGGGACAGAAGTCTGGAACCAGCATCTGGGTTTTATAAGTCAGTCTAAACTATCAGAATATCTACCTGCCAATAAATCAACATACCCCTGGCTTCTGGAACTGATTGTACTCTCATCAGAGGCAAACCCAACTTACAATAATATTGCCCTGAAGGGCTGAGAGGTATGACCTCCACTTGGCGCTCTGGCTCCCTGAGTCAACATGCAAGAGGCCAACAGGGTCTAATGGGACAAAGCTGAATAGCACAGCACCTCCCATAGTGCCAAGATGCCTGGCCTACCCTGGGAGTGAGATGCTTTAGCAGTAAGGGGAATGAAAGGCTTTATTTTAGGGCTCTAAGAGAGTCAGACCCAGCTACTGGCTGTAAACTTGTATAGTATAGGACAGGTATGGGGATGGAAGGGGGATAAAAGCAGGGGATGGGGCGGTAAATCAAGAGAATATTGAGAGGCTTTGGCTCCAGAAGGTTTGCAGGGTATCTGGAAGCATTACTTAAGAAGTGTGGGGACCAAAAAGGCTAGTTCCAACATCCTTTAGAGTTTTTACTTGGACAAAATCACAACACTGTCCTATAGAGCTGCTGTGTTCCCTGAATCTGTGGAATCACTAGATTTAAGGGTGCAATTAGCAGCCCGGGCCCTGTGGAGATTACACAAAGATTCTGGGATCAGACTCAACAATATCCCATTAACAACCTCAATGTGTTAGACATTCTCATTTAATAACAGACCAAACTTTAGAGGCCAGAGAGGACTGCTGAGAAATAGCGCATGTTTGAGAGAAAGTTTGAAGAGCAATGAAAACCCTGAGATCAGAAAGGAAGGAGGAGCTATGGAAATAAGCATCAATCACCTACTCTGACCACCCTAGGATCTGTCCTACCCTTGTCCCTAATCTGCCCTTTGGTTCATTCTGAGTGTGACCTAAAGAAGGAGATGACACTGGTGCACAGGGATCTTAAGTAGGACTTCTGTCACCTTGCGGTTACTTTCCTTCTGAAATCTGACTTTATAGCCGGCTTCCCCACTCAGAACACCATGAACTCACATACCTCAATGACAAAAATCACCTACTTGGATGATGAAGGCTGCTGGATCTCAATCTTAATTGAAGCAATACATGATAGAGACCTGGGAATCAAACCTGCAGCAACTGCATGGCTAGAAGATCTAGCCTCGCGTGGCTGGAAACTACCTGCAGTCAACTCCCTTGGTCCTGCCAGAAGAGACAAAAACCCATGGGAAGCTCCATGCACAAATTCTGCTGCACTCCAAAGCCAAAAAGTATATTGAAAGGAGAAAAAAGTCAGAACTGGTCACTCATGTCTCATACATATCCACATTTATCACTATCAGTATAAGCAGCTCAATGAAAACCAAAATCTTAACACATGCATCTAGGATTAATACTGAGTAATTAAAAGTGGCTACTTAAAAAAAAAAAAAAAACCCACCCCACAGTGAGAGAATAGCTTCGAGGGGAAGGCCATGTTAAGTACAAACAGGTGTCTCCTCTCCCAGTGGCCACCAGTAGTTTTGAGTTTCTCTCAGCAGCATCAACCAAAATTGGCGTGATTTTTAACTTTGTTCTTAACACTAAAAATCCACACTAATTTTTCACTTTTTCCCCACACACCCCATTCCCTAGTGGGGGGAAAAATAACCCTGCCTTTAAAGAATAAATAGCAACCAAGTGCTTAGTTCTATGTAAAGTATGAATATTTATTTCAGGCTTTAGATTCCCAATCGATTTCAAAAAACAAAATCTGATTTCTCTCCTCAAGAATAGCTGAGACCTCCGTGTTAGGATGATTTCATGAAGGCTTAAGGAGCACATTTCATCAGGCTTAGCATGAAGTAAGTCCCTGATGCCCACTGTATCCTGGTTAGGAAGGGAAACAAAGAAAATTCACCACCATGGGACTTGAATGAATGCATACACACTAATGTAAATGAGCAGCTAAACCTTGGCAAATTTGCTTTTTTTTTTTTTAAAGTTTGTTTTGTGGGTTTTTTTTTTTTTCCATTTTCTTTTGCTACCCAGTATATGCAGCACTTGTGAACTCCCAACGGTTTCCAGCTTTAAACACATTAATGTCTTGAAAAGGCTAATTCTTCAGGAATCTAAAAACAGAGCAAACGTGTTTTGCTGTGAACATTCTGCAGAGACGAAGTGAGGCGGGAGTTTGGGTTGTTTTTTTGTTTGTTTGTTTGTTTTTTGTTTTTGTTTTTTTTAAAAAAAGAATCAATACAGTGATGGAAGGGTAAAGAATGCAAGAATTCAGACATTCTGTGGAGGGTTACTTTCTCTCCATGAAAGGTCCATAAAAAGGAGCAAACTGAGATCCATAAGGGGAGTCAGCAGGAGCTGTGTTTTTTTTTTTTCCCCACCCCCGGTGAATAGGTTTTTGTTGAGGGGCCGCTGCTAGGTCCCCACTTGCTCCCCTCCCTTTGGCCTGAGACGGCAGGGCAGTACAGGGGCATCAAAGGAGCACGTCACGACTCCTCGTTCCCAGAATCATCATCATCATAACAGTCGGCATCTTCCTCCTCCTCATCTTCATCATCAATGTCGTCATCATACAAGTCGTCATAAAGCAAATCTGAGCTGTTGTCATTGGAAGGCACTTTAGTTTTGATGCAGTATTCCGCCAGAGTTGTGGGGACCTTCACTCCGTCCTTTTCAGCTTCGGCTTTAGTGGCTGAAACCTGTTTCCTGAAGAGTGAATGACAAGTAGTTTATTGTCTCTGTTTTGAAAATAGATTTATAATTGGCCCCAGTCAAGATTCCTTATCACACTGCTTTTCAAACTCAAGTTACTACCTGAAAGCATCTGATATTATGTATTACACTATATTAAACAGTCTCAACCCATTCGTTATCATTTTGAAGGAAACTTTTAATAATGACTTTTTTGTGTGTGGGGGATAAATATTGACAAGAAGGAAACTTAAACACAGTCATTCTCAAGTATTAATGAGATTAACTAAAATAAATATATTTTTATCATCACCAACCTGACCTAATAAATGTAGCTCAATAATCATCCTAATCTATATTCAGAGTAAAAATGTTATTTTACGCTTACATTCCAAAGTCTTATTATGACCCAGTCTTGGTTCTCACGGTCACATTGCTTTCTCCAATTCTAACATTCAGATGACCCTGGTCCATTTTTTGTGCTTTGAACACATTTAGTTGACTTTCTGTCTGGACTACTAGTTTTCCTGATCTATGTGTTTCTTTTTTGTCATATCTTGACTTAAATTGCATTCAGAGTACCCGCTAACTCCCAGCCCCACATTCTGGGGATTGAATGCAGGGCCACACACATCCTACACAAGTGCTCTATCACTGAGCTACAAACCCAACCCCAGAGACAACCATTTAAATTAGGCATCACTCTCTCACAGCTTCTTGTTATATTCTACTGATCACTATTTTAGTATTTTTTTTCTTTTCATGATCTTTTTTGTTCATTCTTCTGTATCTCCCTATCAGAATATAAGCTTCATCAGAGCAGATGTCATACCTTTCTTAGTTACTTCTACTTTCCCAGTGCCTATAACAACCAGGCTAGCATACAACAGGTATGCAATAAATATTTTGATTGAATGAAGAATAGTTTCTATCTACCAAACAAATATAAAAACTTGAGTCATCAAGACGGGGGGGGGGGGGGTTTCGAGTAATCCCCAATCAAGACCTCTTTAAGTTCCTCTTTGAATTTTAGTTATGTTGTCATTCCTTACATACTGATATTCCTGAGGCTTCTAGGCTTCAATCTCTGCGCTCTTTAGCCCTAAGACATCTTACCAGTTCCCAAGGTTTTAACCGACGCTCCCCTTTATACTGATAGTTCCAGCTTACATTTTTTTCAGTGCTATACACACTCAGCAAGAGTGCATTTTTCATTTTCTGTTTGCACAGCCAGTTGTTTTTCCATTTTTCATGAAAAGCATTGGTTTCTAAATCATAAATCCTCCTTTGAAGCTCTGAAGCCTAATTTTTGCAGTTTAGTCCATGGTTTTCTGGTCAATCTCAAATAGAATCATCTCTTACCTACCTCCCTAAAAATCATGAAGTGACACCCTATCTCTTCTGAAATTAAGAACTATTTTTTCTTATCATGACTTCAATGTCCCTTAAAACGTAGTGTTGATCCTGCTTAATTTCCTACTACTACAAATCAAAATTTACATCCAAGCATTGTAAAACTACTTATAATGTCCCTGACATACCATACTGTTATGCGCCTATGTCTTAGTTAAACATGTTTCTGTATCTCTTAAAAGATTTTTCCTTACCCCCCTTTTTTTTAAGCATGAAAAATTTCTGGTTATAAAGCATTATCGTTCCTAGGAACTCTATTGCCTTATATATTCCTTCCAGTGTATCTTGTTTGGGCTTCTATAATTGCACTTATTACTTCATTTGTTTGCAAATGCCAAGTATGAGTTCCCCCTCAGGAGAAAAGCCTGTCATAACCCATCTAGCAGAGTACTCTAAGCTGTTAGATAATAAATGCTGGGGGAAAAACATCATTTATTAACATTTATCAACATTATACAAAGACCAGAAGCATCTTGGGAATATTCATTTGTTCACTTACTGAAACAACGGGCTTCATTCCTGCTCCTCTAAATTTCTATAGGTCCTTGTTATTTATACCAATTATCTTAAACTTTTGGTATGCAACAGTCACTTGGGTGGCTGAGAACTATGGAAACCCAAACTCTATCCTTGAAATCTCACAGCTGTGGTTGAGGGAGGGTCTAAAAGTGATTTCAAAGAGCAGAAAACAGATCTATAGTCACACATTTCTTGGTGTTTTTTTTTTTTTGGTCTATTACATGGTATCATGCCAAATAGATTCATAGAGAGGGATTCCATTTGTATAAATTCTAGTAATAACCAAATTCCTAACATTCTACTGTAGAGAAGGACCCTATTTGAAAGTATAAAAATATAATATTATTAAGGGGGGTTGAATATTTTGCACAATTCTTATGTGCTATTATTATAATATTTATTTAGCTAGTGACTGAACCCAGGGACTTGTGTGTCTGAGGCAAGCACTGTACCAACTGAGCTATATCCCCATCCCTATTATGAAAATCTTATGTCTCCCTTAGGGTTGTTATTAGGAAATAAAAGGTTGAGGCTGACACCTTCTATTTTTTATATAGATGAAGAAAACTAAACCAAAAAGTTAATTGATAAATGGTCACAGGACAAGTAGCAGAGCCACAATAGATTCCAAGTCTTCTGGTTCTTATCTAGGTCTTGGCCATGCCATACATTAGTGTTGCTAATAAAGCGGATATCCAGAATATGTACTTGCTACTAGGGCCAAAAATACCAATAAGTTATAGTACTTCATTAATTAGAAAATTGAAAAGAAAATCTTTCATATGCCTGGAATGTCTGGAATACCTTGGGTAATTCCCTAAAATGGCCAGGAAGGAGAGTTTACAAACAATTAGTCAAGAACCTGGAAGCACTAGTTCCTAGAAAATTGAATCTGCTGCACTATTTTTTTTATTGGATGCTCCCTCAATTGCCAAGGTTTAAGTTCAGGAAGTAATTGTCCCTTGCCACACTACAAATCTAATTGTGACAAATTATTCTGGAGTAGGACAGGATATTTAAATTTTATTTAATCCTTGGTTCTTAGCATACACTTTGGTTTGTATGAAGGCTTAAACTAGTCAAACAGAAGGCAGAACAATGTACCTTACCTAATGATTTCAGCATATTCTTTGTCTTTTCCTTTACTGTCCCTCCATTTCCTGAACATAACCGAAGCATCCACATTGGCTGGGGAGAAGGTGTTGGGCTCATTAAGCAGTGAGATTACACTTAACAGAATAGTCCTGAAAATAAGGGAAAAGGGTCAACCATGAATATACATACTCTGTATTCTGCTTTTTTGGAAAGTACAATCCGATCTTAAGTTTTCCTTCCCTTAAAATTTTTCAGACACAATTTATTTGATACTATAATATTTGAGGCCTTTAGGAGATGATCATAAAATTTTGTTTCCAGTACTCAACTGTATGGCTACTATTTGGAGGGAAAGGAACAGGAAATATGTTTCTAGCATAATAGCCATGCTGTGAGGTATAACGGGACTTTGTGGAATGCACAATTTGCATGTTCTAGTTTGCAAAAAGAGCTTTCAAATATCGTGTTAAAAAAATCATAGCCAGGTGTGGTAGCATATACCTGTAAAACCAACTACTCAGGAAGCTGAGGCAGGAGGCTTGTAAGTTTGAGGCCAGCCTGGCCAACTCAGTGAGACAATGTTGTGAAATTAAAATTTCAAAATAGTAGTGTAGGGGGGTGGGCTGGGTTGTGGCTCAGTGGTAGAGCGCTCGCCTCTCACATGAGCCACAACCCAGCCCACCCCCCTACATAAAAACAAATAAATAAAGGTATTGCGTCCAACTACAAATAAAAAATAAATATCTAAAGAAAATAGTAGTGTAGGGGTACTAGGGGTTTAGCTAAATGATTGAGTATAAGTGAAGCATGTAGGAGGTCTTGGGTTTAATCTTAAATAATGAAAAAAAATAAGTATTAGGAAAAAAAGCATAAACAGCTTTAAGGCAATTTTTTCATGGGAAAGGGTAAAAATGATGTTATTCATCCAAGTTTTATCATGACCACTTAGAAGATCTGAAAAATAGTATTACGTGTAAATCTTCACACCTATAAGGAAAGGGAAACAAAATATATGCAGAAGAGTAAAAGCAAAGCTTTGACATAGAAAAATAATCCTCTGAATGATGGAAATCTCTATTCAAAAATATTTACCAAGTACCTACTATATGCCAGAGGCACCAAGTAAGATGTTAAATGAGCAATGGTGAGCAAGTTAGATGCCATTCCCGATTTCCTAGGGCTTCTAAGTCTAGTGGGAAATACAAACAGGCAATTTTTACCCAAATATCAAAATTTGACATTTCAATAGTACATCAGGAGGAATAAAATTTCTATTAGAGAAAACCACCAAGGAAACATGCCAGCCTTCAAAACACTCAAATTATTCCTAGGTGCTTTTCTCCTTAAAGCAAGAAAAGTAAGGGAAAATAGTAAATTTCTCCACTTTTTCCTCACTGGTGGGAGGTTAGAGGTGGCTGTTGTTGCAAAATAGGCTTTTGCTCCTGGCTCCAAGAAAAAATAAAGGGAAGGAAACAGGTAATTAGATTTCTGAGTTCCTAAAAAGAGGTAAAGAATTTTGGTATGTGATTATTCAGGATTAATGAAAAGCATTTTCAAAGAAAGAAAACTTTCCCCTCTCTAGTTAAAATCTGTTACAAACTTTTCAGTTAGACTAAGGATAATCCTATAGACTCCTCCTCAGGAACTTTCTTAATTTCTTCAGTAAGTACATTAAAGATATTTAAAGAAAAAGTCATCACTGCTAAAATGGAAAATGACTGATATAACATCATAGAAGTGAAAGAAGAAAATGTGGGCAGAAAATCACATTAGAGTTTCTTCAAAAGACAACAAAATCAGTAAAACAGGATAATGACAAAGCATGGTACAAAGTGGGTGGGAGATATAATACACAGAAGCAAATAACAAAATGGCAAATGTTACTTTCTAGAAATTTCATTTTTTAAAACAATACTTAAAATGGATTGAGGTAGCATGAGTAGTGGCACACATCTTTTCTCGGACATGAGTTTGATCCCCAGCAGTGGAAAAAAAGGTTAAAAAAAAAAAAAAAAAGCAGGGGGTGGTATTTTTTAAGGAAGATAGGAAATCAGAATTACATATATAATGCAACAGGTATTACTGTATTTGCTCCCTTTCAACCTATAGACACCAGTTGGTGATATTGGTCTGCTCTCCCTCTGTTGCTAATTACCTGTCAATACAAGCACAACTTTAGTAGGACACAATACGCCCTAGCTCAACAAGTAAGACCTGGCTCAAGGGTCTTCAAGAAAAGTTTTTGTTTATTTGGTTGTGTGTGGATTTTTTTTGTTTTGTCTTTGTTTTTTTTTGTGTTATGGAAAATCGAGCCCAGGGATGTTTTACCACTAAGCTACAACCCATTCCTTTTGAAGACAGAGTCTCACACTGCTTAGGGCCTCACTAAATTGCTGAGGTTGGCTGCGAATTTGTAATCGCCCTGCCTCAGCCTCCAGAGTTGCTGGGATTCTGCACTGCATTTGCTATGAGCCTATCTTTTTTTTTTYTTTCTTTCTTTCTTTTTTCTTTGTTGGTGCCAGGGATTGAAATCAGAGCCTCCTGTATGCTAGGTAAATACACTACCACTAAGCTACATCCCCACCTCTTTTTTATTTCAAGACAGGGTCTAAGTTGTCAAGCATGGCCTTAAACTTGTGATCCTCCTGACTCAGGCTCCTGAGTAGCTGGGATTATAGGCATACACCTGGCTGAGAGATTGTTTCTTTATTTCAAAGATASCTGTCAATATTCAATTCATAAGAGTTGCACTACCAATTTCTCGTTTTTCCAACTGGTCTCAAAGAGATGACATCAAAGAAGAGTATATTTTTAAGCCAATAAACTGCAGGATGTACACCTAAATAGATCCCACAGAAATCTCACCAAAAAGAGGGGACTGGATATAGAAAGAAACTGCAACATTAGCACACTGCCAGTGTATTTCCTGCTGAGAACTATCTTAGCTAGAAGGGGTGGCCAGGACATCCTAACACCAAAGGAGACAAGTTTCAAAATAAAACAGTGTTTAAAGCTTTACACATAAGCCAATCACATAATTTCGCCAGTGCTGACTAATAAAGAGAAAAATGAGATGGCACTTTTACCAACAACAGCTTTAAATCCATAGAATGGTGATGAGATAAATCTCATAAAGCTAAATCAATGGGAAAACAACAATTTTCTTTCTTCAAAGGAGGCAAGGCAGGAGAACTAGTAAGTGTTGTTTAAGTGGTGGTCCCAATATAAAGGATCCTGTGATCCATTCTGTGAGTGGTTGGGAAGGTTTTGTGATGGGATAGAAATTTTACTTGTCTTACCATCTTAAGTCAGGAAAGTTCAATTTTTTGCAGGATTGAAGATTGCTGTTTCTCCTCAGTGTACACATATACCCTTCCAAGGCAGCATGTGAGGAAAGGAGGACTTTTTTTGGGGGGTCGGGGTACTGGGAATTGAATTCAAGGGCATTTTACCACTAAACTACACCCTCAGGCTCTTTTTAGTTTGTTTTTAGACAATGTCTCAACAGATTGCTGAAGCTAGTCTTGAACTTGTTTTCCTCCTGGCTGTCAACTCCAGAACTGCTGAGATGACCAGAATGTGCCACAGCACCCTGCAAAAATCATTCTTAAAACACCTAAGATTATATTATTTTCTGTGTCTGTCTGTCCGTCCGTCCGTCTCCCGCCACCACCACCCCCTGGGCTTAGTTTCTTTAAAACAAAAAAATTTTTTTGTAGTTATAGATGCTCAAAATGCCTTTATTTTATTTTTTAGTTTTATGTGGTGCTGAGGATTGAACCCAGTGCCTCATGTACACTAGGCAAGCACTTTGCCACTTTGAGCTACAGCCCCAGCCCCACACTTTTCACTTTTATTGACCTACCATAATTTCTGGTTGACTTGTAGAGAAGTGAGGCCCAATTCTCTGGCAACAAAAGGGAACACTACATACTGTTGCTTCCACTTATTATACTGACTTTCAATTCTACTCTGACCTTTCTAATTTATCCGGGGTCCTTTTAATAGCTCATTCCTGCTCTTTTAAAGGAAAGACCAGTAACACTAGAAGATGACCCAGTTAAAACTCATTCACATTTCTAAGTGGAAGAGGGATTTAAAGAGGACATGATGACAAAGAAGCCAGCTGTAACTAGAAAAATGTGGCAGCTACTTGTAAAATACAGTAGGTTCAACTGGTATAGTTACTAGAAACAACATTTCTTAATGCTTCTAAAGCAACTAAGAAATTTAACTGCTGTGCAATGTTGTAACTACTGCTGACTGATGTATTCCTGAGAATACAAAGAAGGAATGAGAATCTCAGATTTAAAAGCATAAAAATTTTAAATACACAAAATATGTATGCATGCAAAGAAAGAAACTGGCACGTTGATGTCAGTGGCATATAATGTGGAAAAATTAAGGAAGTAAGCAAATAAAATAACCCTGGTCCAGAGCCAGGCTTAAAAGAGCCCTAGGGCTACTACAGCTGTTTCCTGGCCTTACCTACTCTGTCATCCAATGCTTGGGGCATTCCTGGTGCTCTGCCATTTCAATGAGTTATAGAAAAGACCCAAGAAGAAAATTTCCTACCCTACTCCTGAAAGAGACCCTTCTGCATGAAACAGTAGCTGCTGGACTGGATTTATCAATCTAATCCTGCCAAGACCACTTTCCAATCCTAGAGTCAACATTAAGAATGACAAATACTTCCAGAGATGGTACCTCAGACAAAGCATTTGTGAACTCTAACGGCAAGGTCCACCCCTACCCCCAAATTCTCCCACTTACTTAAAGACAGAACACAGATTAAGGTGTGTATTGTTTCCACAGCTCCGGCTGTAGCTCAGTGGCAAAAGGTATGTGGTGCTGTATACTTCTAATCAGACATGGGTCAGCATCAGGGACCCATACTGCCCACAACCCCAATCTTCTGCTGCCTAATGCCTACTATTAAAACTTTCCAATTCCATAAGGACAGATCAGCACCACCTCCCTTCCCACAAGATGTCTGGATCCAGGCTTCACCTGGAAGGTAGGAAACAAATGAGTAGCTAGATGAATTTTTGAATCCTTACTATTCTAACATCTTTTTTTCTCTGGTCAACAACTGTTATTACTCACAAGGTCTTCTGATACAGATTGTATTTCTTTAGGCTACAAAAGC